ATGCTCTTGAGAAATAGTGAAAAATATATGTCAATATAATGGATTTCCATTTTGAATCTATCAAACTTTGAAATGATTTAATATGTAAGTATCCACCATACAATGCCGGGGCTATCAAATATGCCGGCTTTATCATATAATTATCTATGAAATACCGGGTATATTTCTCCATTTCGTAAAGTTGATATTTTGACTAGTGAAATAACACATTCGACGTTTCTCCATATAGTGGAAGTAAGAAAAAAGGTATTTTACGATATAAATTGCTTTCATATGTGATTATATGATAAACAGAATATTATGGCCGTTCAGAGATACAATGTACGAATTTTATCTTCTCATGCTACCAAGTGCTACGCTCACTCGTGAGAGATCTTTTCAACACTAGAAGATGAAATCCGTATCTCCGCGCGCCCATGTAATATCCTCTATTTCTGATTGCCTTCTGAAATATATATAGTCTATTCATGACAGACCTATATACTAAAATATATTTAGTCTATTCATGACATGTTCTTTACGATCCTTTCGTCAAATTTTCCCTATAGTTTAGTGGAAGCTAAAGCAATTAGACCACTCGATCTCTTGAGCTAGGAGTTGATACGGCCTCACCGCATGAACTATCAACTCGTAGTTAACTTGACCAAGTGGTCTAATTGTTACCTGCGATGTTTGAAATAACCTTACGAAGAGTGAATTACCGTCATCACACCGCATTTCATCCTCACTTTCGCAGTTTAATTTTCTATTGCAAAGTTTAGAGACGTCCATGCACGATCCATCAAAGCACGCAAATTGATTAGTTAAACAAGGACAGCGATCCTCATCTGAACCATCGATACAKTCGTCTTTGAKCCCYTCACATCTTTTATATTTGTCAATACATATTCCATTGTTACATTGATATTGTGAATCTGCACATCGATATCCTGTGAGAGAAGAGAACATGGATTCTTGGCAAGGTAGTTCAAGATGTTTTTTTAGCTTTTTTAACGATCGAGTCAGAGGACAGACTATATAACTACTTTTCACAAAATATATATATATATACAAAAAAACTGTCACCTTAAGCTACATAAAAAAATGACTTTTTTGTTTTCTGATAAGAAACAAAAAAGTCGAGGCTTACCAGGCTCCGCATGCTTTGGAAAAACATCACATTCTGACGATGACAGTCTGAAGTCTCGAATCCCACATGTAGTTCTGTTTACATTAGACGAAATGTTGAATGATATCTGAAAATTGCATTTATATCAAATAATCAATCTGTTGAAATTTTCCCCTTCAAGTTGAATGGACCAATTATATGCGAATCAAATTAGGTGATCGATTGCAGAGACTAATTATTGATTTTAATCCAAAAAAACCTAAAAAGAACTATTGTAAACGTCACTGATTTTGGTAAAAATGCGAAATGAGATCTGTGGGATTTGCCCAATGAGACAACGTGAGGATGGTGATTGTGCATCCATTTCATGGATGGAATTTGCAAAGTGATGAATGGCTATATTCATTTGCTAACATGCTTATTTCGCATGTGAAAACCACACATGGATTATATAAGTCATGGTTTACATCACAAACCTTGAATTTTTCTTTGATTCGAACAATAGGAATACTGCCGTTTTTCCAAACCTCTCCTTGATATCCTTGAGCTGACCATTTATGCTGATACCCGCTTTCAATATGAACGTACACGTCAAGCCGCGATAAGCCTTGTGATGGAAG